ACAAGTGATGTCTAGAAAATAAAATAACAGTATTTGTCTTCTGATCAGAGATCTCTTCTAAAAGAGAAAGGACAACAGAAAGAGGGTTCAACTTAGGCATGGTTGGACGACGGGTGTCACAGAGTGGTTGCAGACAAGCTACAATGGATATGAGAAGACGGTACAAGATAGAACAAGTGTGGCATACCATGACAGCAGATACCTGACAGAAGGAGTAGCTACAAGCAGCAGCAAGATTGAGGGACATACAAAAGTGGGCTTTGCAATAATGAGAACAGCTGTACCTTTGAGCACAGTTTTCACTGTCAAAAGAGAGCATGAAAGATCTTAATACTCAAAAGGTTTGCCCATCTTCCGACAATTTAATTTGTCTTTGAGCTCAAACTTCTAATTACAGGATTTTGGTCACCAGTACAGCAAGATTTGGAAAAGAAGAATTAGGCACAATAGAAATCACCACTGTCACAACTTCAAGATAGCTGAATCAATATCTGACTGAGAATGGGGGTAACAAGCACAGGTTCTGACAAAGATCAGAAAATACTCCAAGGGATTCCAATGTTCCTGTCGTGCTCAAACTGTCAGTAGGCCAGGGACAAACAGTGAATAGATGAGAAGTACCAGAGGACTTGAATGGTGGCTAATGTTGTGCCGTTGTTTAAGAAAGGCTGTAAGTAGATGCCAGGAAACTATAGACCTGTGAGTCTGACATCAGTAGCGGGCAAGTTGTTGGAGACAATTCTGAAAGATAGGATTTACATGCATTTGGAGAGGCAAGGATTGATTCGGGATAGTCAGTATGGTTTTGTGCAAGGGAAATCACGTCTCACAAACTCAGTTGAGTTTTTAAATGAAGTAACCATAAAAATTGATGAGGGCAGAGCCTTGGTTTTAGTAAAGGCTTTGACAAGGTTTCGCATCATATACTAATTAGTAAAGTTCGATTACATGGAATTCAGGGTGAGCTTGCCAATTGAATACAGGGGGTGGCGGCGGATTGTTTTTCAGACTGGAGACCTGCAATCAACAGTGCTCCACAGGGATCGGTGCTGGGTCCACTTTTGTTTGTCATTTATATAAAGGACCTGGATGAGAATATAGCAGGCATGGTTATAAAGTTTGTGGACGACACCAAAATTGGTGGTATAGTGGACAGTGAACAATGTTATCTAAAATTACAAAGAGATATTGATCAGTTGGGTCAATCGGCTGAGGACTGGCAGATGGAGTTAAATTTGGGTTCATTTTGGTAATACATACAAGAACAGGATTTATGCAATGAATGGTAGGGTAGCCTGTTATGGTAGCCCTGAGTAATGTTGTAGAACAGAAAGATCTCAGGGTTCAGGTACATAATTCTGAAATTTGTGTCACATTTAGACAGGGTGGTTAAGGTAGCATTTAGCATGCTTGCCTTCATTGTTCAGACTTTTGAGTACAGAAGTTGGGACGTCTGTTGCGGTTGTACAGGATGTTGGTGAGGCCTCTTCTGGTGTGCTGTGTGTAGTTCTGGTTGCCCTGTTATAGGAAGGATGTTATTAAATTGGAGAGGATTCAGAAAAGATTTACCAGGATGTTCCTTTTGTTCATCCCTTTATTTATTCACGGGATGAGAGCATTTATTGCCCATCATTAATTGCTCAGAAGGCTGTTTTTAATAGGCAACTGCATTGCTGTGGGTCTGGAGTCACATGTAGGCCAGACCAAGTAAGGGTGGCAGTTTCCTTCCCTAAAGGACATTAGTGAACCAGATGGGTTTTTCTGACAATTGGCAATGGATTCACGGTCATCATTAGATTCTTAATTCCAGATATTTATTGAATTTAAATTCCACCATTTGCCGCGGTGGGATTTGAACCTGGGTCCCCAGAATGTTATCTGGGTCTCTGGATTAACAGTCCAGCGATAATACCACTAGGCCATCACCTCCGCTTCGTGCGGAATGGAGGGTTTGAAATGTAAAACTAAACTGGAAAGACTGGATGTTTTTCACAGGAGTGTAGGAGATTGAGGAGTGACCTTATTGAGGTTTATAAATTTATAAGGGGCATAGATAAGGTGAATGACAGGGGTCTTTTCCCTAGGGTGGGGGAGTTCAAAACTAGAGGGCATATTTTTAAGATGAGAGGAGAAAGACTTAAAGGCATGAGGGGCAATTTTTTTTCCTTTTTTTTTTTTTAAGAAGCAGAGTGGTTCATGTGTGGAATGAACTGCCAGAGAAAGTGGTGAATGCAGGTACAGTTCCAACATTTGGATAAGTTCATAAATAGGAAGGTTTTGAGGGCAATGGGTCAAGCACAGGCAAGTGGAACTAGTTAGATTGGGAACATGGTTGACATGGGCCAGGTGGACCGACGGGTCTGTTTCCATGCTGTATGACTCTTATGACTAACATTCCGCTACTCTGCTCACTTACCTTTGAGGAACAGTTGTGTACATCAACTGTGAGGGAGATTGAATGGGTGGGTAAGAGCCCATGATAAAGGTGGAATATACATGCTTTGTTACACAGACTTGTCTGTCACAGAGTGCCCAATGCAATTACACCAAGGAGTTACTCTTATTTTTACTTGTATGAAAAATCTTGTCAGCGTGAAAGTTTCATTGCTGAGATAATGTAAGAGGCTCCAGCAAACCCAATGAGAGCCCAAAGGGAAGCCCAGATGGATGCAGCCCTGCATCCAGTGGGCGTGAGCTCGTCTCCAAGCAGACCAATGCTTACCTTGTGTATCGGGGGCAATTCGTAAAAAAATCAACCAGACAAGCAAACAGATAGGTCTCTGCAGAGGGAAAGATAACAGGAACCCCAATGAGAAACAAACTCAGATTCAGACACCCTTTGCACCTAAAACAACAGTAACAACGATTACCAAGGAACACAAGTGCAGGAAATACTGTAGTGAGTAGTGACTAGATGACAACTCAGGGGATGGTTTTCAAAATACAAGTAATCATGGAACAGAATGCCAAGAAAGGAGACTAGATCAGCGGCTTGTCAAAGCACCATGCCAGATAACAGAAGACATGGCATTATCCATTAAATCACTGAAGAATTCAGTTTTACTACATGCTTCAAAAACAGCCAGTCAGAATGTCAGTAATTGAAGCCTCCTAGTTCAAGTAAAGTGTGCTGAAGGGAAAAAAACCCAAATTAGGAATGATACAGCAGGTACCTAATTATGTGCCCAAACATGGGGCTCTGTGTCTTGCTGATTAGCCTGGCCTGTGAATGGTGGAACAGCAGCCATATCATTTTTGCAGTATTTACCCCCAGACATGAGACACAAACCAAGAGGAAGGCCAACGGGATCCTGACTTTTCCTAAGATTTAAGAGTGAGAGAGCTAGGATTCCACTTTTTTTGTTAAGTTTGCAGATTGGTAGTGGCCTCAAATGAGATTAATTTCACTTTTTATGGGACTACAATATTTTGCTGCATTTGGGGGACCATGTTCCATGATTCCAATCACTATTACATGAAAATGACCTCAAATTTTCTTAGCCTCCCCTTGGAGGCAAGTGGCAAAGGCTACATTACCCGCTCTGGGTCTCTTTCCACCTCAAGACCTGTCCCTGCCCGTACATCAAACATAAGGAACTTACCCGGCAAATTGAAGAGGGTGTTGAGGATGTAAAAGCGCTCAGTATCATCTCGCTGAATAAACTTGTTTGGATATTGCTCCCTTATGTCTGGGCTGCACAAAACACATGCATGTCACGTAACACAGTTATCTGATAGCACCAAATGACAGTGTTCCATCAGCACAGGAAAAGCATGCTTTATCTACAAGTACTCTCAATTATGCTCCTGACTCTGTGCCCAGTATCTCAACAGGTTCACCCAGGAACTACCATAGCAAGGAAGTAATTTGCCATTGTCCATAAAGGATGAAGGCATCTCCTGCCTTCAGAAAGACACTGGGTTATATATAGCTTGTGACACATGACTCAGCAAATTTCACATAAAATAGGCAAGTGGAAACAAGCTGTGAAACAGTTGCAGCCAGCCATTCACCCACAATATCCAGCTATTGATGCTGCACCATTTCCAGTCAAGGGATCAGAAATTTGACTTGCAATTTAAGAAATTCCCACAGCTACACAGCTGTGAAAAGAGTGCTGTCATTAAGTATTGATCTATATACAGAAAAACAAAAATCAGCTGGGGTGGTAGCAGCCAGGATGCTTTACTAAGGTCTCTCAGCTGATCAACCTGCAATCTTCCTCACAATATCATGAGAAACAAGCAAAGGAGTGGACCACCAAGCACACTGAGCCAATTCTGCCAATCACTAGGATTATGGCTTTAACTCCATTTTCCTGTCTTATCCCCCATGACCCTCAACTCACTTGTCAATCGAAAATCTGTCCAACTCAGCCTCAAATATCACAAACTCACAGAAATGTTACAGTGCAAAAGGTTATTTGACCCATCATATCTAATATCAGCTCTCCAGACAAACATCTCAGCTCTGAAGAATCATAATGGACTCAAAACATTAACTGTTTCTTTCTCCACAAATGCTGCCAGACTTGCAGAGTTTCTCCAGCATTTTCTGTTATTATTTTAGATTTCCAGCATTTGCAGTATTTTGCTTTTACGTGAACATCTCACCTGGTGCCATTCTCCTGCCTTCTACCCATAACCCTGCACATCCTTCCCTTTTAAACTGCCATTTAATTCCCTTCTGAATGCCTCAATTGAACCTGCCTCTACCACAAGCTCAGGCAGTACATTCCAGACCCTAACTACTGACTGCATTAGAAAGTTTCTCCTATCACTTTTGCTTCTTTTAATAATTATTTCAAAATCTGTGCCCTTTCATTCTCTATCCTTTTATTGGTGAGAACATTTGCTCCCTACATATTCTGTCTAGGCCTCCCGTGATTTTTAACACGTCAGTCAGACCTCCTCGGATCTTTTACTTCTCAAGGAAACAGTCCCAGTATCTCTAATCTACTCAAATAACTGAAATTCCTCATCACAGAACCATTCTTGTAAACATTTTACACACTCTTGCCAATGTCCTCACATCTTCCCTAAATGCGGCATCCAGATCTGTATACAATACTTCAGCTGAGGCCAAACTAGTGTCTTATTCAAGTTCATCATAATCTTCTTGCTCTTTTACTCTGTGTCTCTATTGATAAAGCCTAGAACACTGAATGCTTTATTAACTGATTGACCCCTCCCTCAATCCTGCCATCCTAAACTGGAACAAGAGTAGGCCATTCAAATGAGATCATGGTTGAGCTGTGGCTTAACTCCATATACCTGTCTTTAGCCCATATCCCTTAATACCTTTGCTTAATAAAAATTTATCTCAGATTTAAAATTAACAACTGATCCTGCAGCCACTGCTGTTTGTGGGAGAGAGTCTGAAACATCTACCATTCCATGTGTATAGAAGTGCTTCCTAACATCTCTCCTGAATTGTATGGAGCCCTAATTCTCAGACTTTGCACCCTAGTTCTAGAATCCCCAACCAGTGCAAATAATTTCTCTTTACCTCCCCTATCTTTTCCTGTTGATACCTTGAAGACATCAATCAGATCACCCCTTAACTTTCTAAATTCTAGAGAATGACTTAAGCAGGTATAAATCCAGCATTCTCTGCTCCTGCACCACCATTAGAGTTGCGCCTTTTATTTTATGCTATTTCTCCATGTTCTTCCTACCAATACGCATCACCTCACACTTCTCTGCATTGTACCGCATCTGCCACATTTCATCCATTCCATCTACTTATCTATTTTCAATGACCCAATTTCCACTGCTCTCTGTGGAACAGAATTCTCTGAAAAAATTAATCCTCATCTCAACCTTTAAACGGAGACCCCTAATTTTAAAACTGGATGCCGTAGAACTAGATTCCCCCAAAAGAGGAAATATCTTTCCAGCAAATATCCTGTCAATCCCCCTCAGAATCTTGTATGTTTCAATAAAAACCACCTCTCATTCCTCTAAACTCTAAAGGATATAAGCCTAACATCAAATAGGATAAAGGCAGCTCTTTGATCAGTGCCCCAATCATCAATGGCAAATCATCTGGAATTAACAATCTAATGATGACTGTGAAACCATTGGTGATGGTTGGAAAAACGCATCTGGCTTATTAATGTCCTTTAGGGAAGGAAACTGCCATCCTTACCTGGTCTGGCCTATATGCGACTCCAGACCCACAGCAATGTGGTTGACTCTGAACTGCCCTCTGGGCAATTAGGGATAGACAATAAATGCTGCCTAGCCAGCGACACCCTCATCCCATTAATGAATAAAGGGAAAAATGTAAACATTCACTTCCTCCAATGCCACACACACCAGCAGCAGCATATACCATCTATAAGATGGACAAGTGACTCAACAAGCCTCTTTTAGCAGCACCTTTCAAAGCTGTGACTTCTTCCACCTAGAAGGACAATGGCAACAGATGCATGAGACACTATCTGTAACTTCTCCTCCAAGCCACTTGAAACATACTGTTGTTCCTTCACTGTCACTGGATCAAAACCTGGAACTCCCTAACAGCACTGAGTGCCCCTTTACCCTGAGGACTATAGCAGATCAAAGAAACACCTCACCACCATCTTCTCAATCAGAGAAGGTTAACACATTTTGGCCTCATCAGCAACACCCATATCCTGTGAAAGAATAAAACAAACACTGGCCCAGAGTGGGCATGGTGGTCAAAGCACATGCCCTGCCTATACACACTGACCTTTGACTGGAATGCCTCTGACCTTTAAGACTGAACTATCAGGCAAGAACCTCAACATAGAGAGCTAATTCTATAAATGAAGTGGGTAGAGTAAACTCATTTACAACAGTGCATTAAAAGGTAAAATTCAATTCTTAACTTTTAAACAGGTTATTTAACAAACATGCAAAAAGAAAAAAAATTACACCATTGTCTTGAATCACATTCACAGTTAAACACAGCACGCACCCCCTCATGAAATTGAATCCGTGGGCACAGACCAGGATGTTCCCATATGCATCCACCTTCAGCAAGTTCCCATATAATGTGTCAAAAATCAGACCCCTGCAAAATTAACATGATAAAAAAAATCCTTTCAATACTCTCAGAAATTAATTATGAATTACTATCATCACACATTAATACAACCAGACACCTAAGAATAAACTAACCTTTTTCTTATCCGGTAAACTTATTCCTTATGCCATTAAATTGGAGATTAGTGAATGTTCACAATGATTAGAATGCCAATGTCTGCACCAATCTGCCATATCATACAGAAGTGGTTTTGTTTCAAAATCAGATGCTTATCCTTTTAACAACACTACCTCTTCTCCCATAAAGTCACACCAGTTCTAGCAGATTGATTTAGCAAGCGAGAGTTCAAATCTCACCGTATTCAATTGTAGAGTTGAATTTATTAAACCTGATAAAGTGATTCCATTTTTCATCTGACCACAAGCAAAGAAAGAACTGCGATGTCTTCTCTTCCTACTCCTACATCCTTACCTCTAGAGCCTCCAATCATTCTATTCTTGTTATTTCCTATTGCTCAGCTACATGCTGGCCCCAGTGGCATCATCCAGAAGCAGCATGTCAATTTCTACATGCTCATGACATCCTGCTCTACCTCGGCACTACTGTTCTTAAATTATCAGAGTGCTTCTCAGACATCCAGTACTAGATAATCAGAAATTGATCCATTTAAAGTACAGGAAAGATTGAAATCATTACTTTTTATCTCTGCTCTATATCTGTTCCCCAGACACTAACTCCATTCCCCTTGCTAGGAGCAGTGAGAGATTAAGCCATTCTTTTTGTAACTTTGGTGTCATATTTGACCATAAGACAAGCTTCTGACCTCATATGCATGTTACCATCAATATTCCCAATTCCAACGCCATAACATTACCTGACTCCACCCCAAATGAGATATCATCTGCAAGGCTCGCTTTCATGTGTCAAAGATCCCCAGAATGCTTTACATCCTCAAGATGTACTGCACATTAAACATGCTAAGCTAGTGATAGGCAATAATTCATCCTCATCAACACAATGCATATCATGTGACAATGGATATTATGGATAACATTTTCAACAACTGGTTAACACTGGATTTCAAATAATCACGCTGCCCTTTTGTCCGTTGAAGTATTCTCTTTTACAGATTTTTCTCCTCATGTCAGCCATTAAGTGCCCACAATCCCATCTCACAGTGTCCTCGTACACTCAAACTCCTACCTGGTAGGGAAAACAGGATCATAGACAAAGTTGCATAGCTCCTGAGGATACCCAATGGAGACCAAGCGCTCAACAGTCAAATCAAAGCCCAAAGCCTCGTATTCTGGAGATTTGTACACTGTGCCAAGACAAGAGAATGATCTTTAAGGAGAATCCCACAGTATTCGACAACAATTTGCATAAATTGTGCCTTTAATTTCACAAGGCATCAGGATACTTCACAGAGCAACATAAGGAGATAATTGGTTGGATGACCAAAAGCTTAGTCAAAGGAATGGGTTTTAATAGTTGCCTTAAAGGAAAGCAAGGTTGAGGTGAAAAGGTGTAGGGTGGGAATTCAGGATCTTGGAGCCGAGGCAACTGGAGGTATAGCTGCTTTTGCTAGAGCAATTAGAATACAGAATGCCCAAGTAAGTAGAATTAAAAGGAGCATAGGTGTCCAAAAGGGTTATACGGTTCAAGGAGATTACACAGGTAGGGTGGAGCAAGACCACAGTGGGATTTGAAAATAAGTTTATATATATTGTCATTTTGGGAACTTGTATTCTGAGGTAGAGATGTCAGAACTTTGATTTCAATTCTGCATTAGTGGCTTTTTCACAAAAAAAAAGTCTTTTTTGGAATTGTGAACTACAAGGTTCCCTTTCCAAAAAACATGCAACTTGAGTTAAATGACTAGCAAGCTACCTGGGGAGATAACTGATGGAGTGTTTGCTCAGAGGGAATTCCAAGATCTGGACCTAATGACATTGAAAGGATAGTGATTGTTCCAGGCCACAATGGTGCGATTTGGAGGGGAACTTGCAGATGCAGACTTTGGAACACCAACACATCTGCTGCCCATGTCGTTTTTGCTGATAGAGACTGTGGGTTGGTAAGGTGCTATCAGAAGAGCCTTGCCACATCATGCAGAACATGGTGTGCGCGCGTGCGCAGATAGACAGACTTCAGTACAGTGCTGGTGAAGGGACTGAACATTGAAGGTGGCGAATGGGATAGCAACCAAGCAGGTTAATTATTCCGTCACACTCCTGATCTGTTCCTTATAGATGGTAGACAGGCACTTGGAAAACAGGAGTTAAGTTACGCACCCAGAATTCCCAGCTTCTAACCTGTTCTTGTAGCTACTGTATCTCTCTGTACAATGTGTGTCAGCCTCATAACTTTTGCCCACCCATCTATTTTGTATCATCCACAAACTTAGCTATTGTATATTCACCTTCCTCTTCCAAGTCATTAATACTGTAATAATTGTGGCCCCAGCACTGATCCCTGTGGCACTATACTAGTTACAGCTTGCCTTCCTGAAACTGCACCCCCATCCTGATTTCTGTTAGTTAGCCAACCCTCTATCCACACTAATACAGTACTCCCTACATAATGGGTTCTGATCTTAAGAAGTAGCCTTAGCAGCAGTATCATATCAGATCTGCTTTTGAAATTCCAAAATTACATCTACTGGTTCCCATTTTCATCTGCTTGCTACCTCCAAGAACTCTATTAAACTGGTCAAACATGAATTCCCCTTCAAGGGACCAAGCGGCTTGATTATATTACAGGTTTCTAAATTGTCTGCTGGTATATCCCTTCTCATAAACTCTAACATTTCTCAATGATAAACATTAAGCTAACTAAAGTCATTATAGGCCCTTTTGTGGGTCTCCTTCCTTTTTGGAATAAGAATGTACTATGGTCAGCTTTTGAATTGTCTGGAGTTTTTCTAGAATCCAAGGATTCTTGGAAGATTATTACTAATGCATACACCAACTCTGTAGCTAATCCTTTTAATATCCTAGAATGCATCTCATCGGATCCAGTGGACTTATCAGGCTATAGCCCCCGTAGTTTCCTAGTGTCCATTCTCTAGGATGAATTGTTATATTTATTTATTCTCCTCTTTCTCTCCCCCCACTCCATCATTTAGTATTTTTGGAATGATACTAATATTTTCCATCAAAGACAGAGGCAAAGTTTTAATTTAACTAGTCTGCCATTTTCTGGTTCTCTTCTATTAATTCCACAGCTTCATTCTTTAAAGGACCTATTTTTTTCCCTTGGTCCTATTGTCCTTTATCATATATTTAAAGAATTTCTTACTGTCTATTTCTTTAATTTTTTTGTTAGTTTACCTTCTCCCCCTACTAGGTTTTTGGTCTTCTAGCACAGCAAAAGGTCTTTTGCATCTATGCCAATCAAAAATAATCATTTAACAATTCTAATCCATTTTCCATCAATTGGCTCATAGCCTTGTATGCCTTGCATCAGAAGTGCAATCTAAATATTTCTTAGATGTTGAGGGTTTATGCCTCTACCGCCTTTACAGGCAAGATATACCTCACATTTCCTCTAAATGTTCTATCCTCACTTTAAATCTATGCCCTAGTCATTGATCTTTCCAAAGGGAAAAACATCTTGTCTACCCTATCTATGCACCTCAATTTTGTATATTTCAATCATGACCCCCTCAATCTCCTCTAGTCTACAGAAAACCAACCCAGTCTGTCCAATCTCTCTTCAGCCCAGGCAACATTCTGCTAAGTCTTTTCTGCACCGTCTCCAGTACTATCGCATCCCTCCTATACTGTGAGTTCCAGAACTGCCCACAATACTCTAGCTATGGCCTAACCAATGTTTTAAACAGTTCCAGCATAACCCCGCTACTCAAACTCAATGCCTTGACTAATAAAGCGATGATGTAGAGGTGCCGGTGTTGGCCTGGGGTGGACAAAGTCAGAAGTCACACAACACCAGGTTTTAGTCCGACAGATTTATTTGAAATCATAAGCTTTCAGTGCTGACTTCACCTGACGAAGGAGCAGCGCTTCGAAAGCTTGTGCTTTCAAATAAACCCGTCGTACTGTATGTCATGTGATTTCTGATTTTGACTAATAAAGGCAAGACTACTATATGCTTTCTTAACCACTTTATTTACTTGACCTGATACCTTAAGGTGTACACGTACACCTGCCCAAGGGCATTTATCTGTTTTGAATTCCATTTTCACTGATCAGCCCATCTGATCAACCAGTCTATATCCTCTTGTAGTTTAAGATCATCTTCCTCACTATTTACCAGCCCACCAATTTTTTTTAATCGTCTGTGAACTTAAGATGAATCCTCTTACATTCAAATCTAAATCATTTATATTACACACCAAAAGCAAGGGCCTCACTCTGAGCTCCATGGAACCCCAATGGACACAGGCTTCTAGTCAGAAAAACAAACCTCAACCAGCACCCCGGCTCCTACTATCCAGCCAAATGTGGATCTAATTTGTCAAATTTAATCATCTTTTGCTGGTCTGCCACTGATTTTTGCCACATTGTATGTTTATTCTTTCTGTTTGAACTATCCTGAATTTCCCTGATTAACCACAATTGACATCTCCGTTTCCTAGAATCTTCTTTCCTCACTAGGCTGTATCTTTGTTGCAAGTCACGAACTTCTTTCTTAAGAATCTGCCATTGTTCCTCAACTGTCTTTGCTGCTACACTCCTTTCCCAGTCCACTTCAAGCAACTCTGCCCTCATTCTTTTGTTATTACCCTTATTAAATCTGGTACTATCATCTCCAATCAATCAAAGTCTCTCAAAGCCTTTGCAGAATCCAAAAGTCTTCAGGTGTTTATTGATATCACATGGACTAAATCAAAGCGGCTGAAGACTGGTTTGTGCCATGCTGGGAACCTCAGGAGCAGGTCGAGATGACTCATCCACTGATGTACTGGGCTTGGTCTTTTATTGAAGATGGGGATATTTCTGGAACCTGCATTCCCAGTTGTTTGTCTACCACCATTTACAACTGAATGTGGCAGGACTGCAGAGTTTAGACCTGATCCTTTGCTTGAGGGATCGCTTAGCTCTATCACTTGCTGCTTTTGCTATTTGACATGCAAGTGGTCTCGTGCTATAGCTTCACCTTCAAACTTCCTGCATGAGTGGCACAGCATCAACAAGGGACCCCACATACACAGTACTTATCACATAGTCAGCAAGGGAGTGCATGTACACAGTACGCATCACTATCCCTGTAACTGGAATTCAAAAAGAGAGTTCAGGCCAGGGGTTTGGCAGAAAACAGACCAACAAAGCTGACTGACATAAACACTTATGCTTCCTAAACATTTCTTATGATGTCCTAGAATCCAAAATACTTCAAGCTAAAACATAATAAAGGCTTTGGAAAATAAAAACAAAAAGTGATATTATGCACTACAAGATCCCACAAGAAGCAACGTTACAAAAATGATCAGCAAACACGTATTGGTGGAATGGATCAAGGGATAATAATGATTAGGACCGCAGTGTAATTGACAAAGGCAGACAGCATTCCAGTCTCAATCTGATATAGAATGCAGCTAATGACCCTTTCAAAGCAAGAACCATTCTGAATGAGAAGAAGTCATTGCAGCCATTTTCAGAGTTAATAAACTTTAATGCATCTAAGTGAAAATTAAGAGCCAAAATTCGTAACTGCTGCTGTTTAACAGCACATGTCAACAAACAAGCAAACAAACATCATTCTATGTACAGTGTTTCAGTTTTTTGATTAAAAACAGAATGCTTTTCTTAAAAATACTGGTGCAACAGGTTATCCCATTTCTTCAACTAGAATGAAAGAATAACCACAGCATCCAGCTCTCTAATGGCCTTAGGAGAAAACCAAATTTGGGAGTCCTTAGAACATTACCTGGGTCTCTTCATTAATAGTAGTCTAGCGACAATCCCACTAGTCCATTGTCTTCTGATGTAGATGGAAGTTGGATTTAGTGAGTCTCAGCATTCCTGCATTGTATTAAATCTTTCAATCAAATGGGACACTGAATTCTTTGCTTACCATGTTTCAACTTCAGATCTGAACATGGATGGAAACACTCAGCAGTCCACACAAGCTGAGAATTATACATTTTGATATTGCTGGTTCACTAATACCTTCATGTAATCAGTTCACCTTTCATAGTTATTAACAATTCCTTAAATTATTTTCAGACAGACTGACTTGCTTGAGTTTAAATAGCCCAAATCTTAACCAGAGGCCAGAACAGACAAGCTTACAAGTTTTGGCAGGGGCAGGCCAGAGTGTAAACATCACCTTTAGAGATAACAGCTTGTGTCACAG